GAAAACTGTGAGAATGGATGACGCAAAAACTGGAAACTGGCTTAGAACTAAGAAAGCCGTTCGACAAAGAAAGTACTGGAAGGAGCAGGGATCGCACGTAGCTGAACGCAAAAAGAAGAGGTCAACCAATCGCATCGCATAGCTTCAAGAAGTGAAAATATCATTTGTCCTATACGCTACACTGCCAACTAAAACTATATGTGACGAATAATTTATGCCGATCGCACAATCACATTTCAGCAAACCTCTCGTATAGGCTCACTTGGTCACCGTTCCCCACCTTCATCGTCCCATACGTACCTCTACCGTAATGGCAAACTTGCGCACCAGCTAGGCGCGCCACTGTCTCTCCCGCCGTGCGCGACGGATATGCGCGCGATTTACGACCTCGACCCGTCATGATCGCCATGATAAACTCACTCATGGATTACAGCACTTTGTCGGATCAGCTCCACTCCACAATAAGGCCATACTGATAAGGTTACCGCATTGCAAAGATGATGACTGGATACCAGATGTTCAACGATGATGTAACGGATATCAATGAATTTCACTAGTATTGGATAGATAGAGAAAGTAGTCTCACTAAGAACATCAACAAAAAGAGCAGAACCGCATAGATTAAAAAAATTTGGGGTGCCTGTTCCCTAAAAATAACGGCTAGTCTAGTTCATCACACAACCAGACAGTCCTTTCAATACTTCCTTCAGAATGGTAAATACGCCTTTCAAATGAAGAGTATATCCATCGATTGCTAGTAAAGAATGAGTTGAGCAAGTTTGAAACACAGCACATAATCAAGGTCGAGTGACGATTAAAGTGAACTGTAGAAGAAATGAGATCCTGAGTTTCTTTGACTCAACCTCCCATTTCTGCTGTTCGAGCGTGTTCGAGTCCATCCACAGTCCATTCTCAATTTTAACATTTGAAGATCTCAAAGGAATAAAACTTCAAAAATAAAGCTGGCCGAATAAAGTCGAAGTTTACAGATGACCTTTTTTTACAAAAGTTTACCAACGATCATATGAGAGCGACATAGAATCCATGCTAGGCGAGCATTCCATCCGTTACCTTACCATGTTGAAATGGCCTTCACTTCAAGAACGTTTTAAAAGGAAAATTCTTCGAGAGAGCTTCATCAAGCCAGCAGTGTCGCAAACTCATCACTTATTCATTAATCCGCTATAAAAATGCATCCAAAGACGATGAATTCACCTTCGAAAACAAATTTCGCGATCATCTTCAAACTCGATACCTTTCAAAGAATAGGTAAACTACTCTACACCTACAAATCCTGTAGCGCCCATTTATTTCCATTTATGCACTAGCTGATGGTCTGGAAGTGTTTGCAAACGTTTTCATAATCGTATCTTGACAATGGTTGACCCATGATGACGGCAAAAATTCAAGAGGTGCTCATTTCCTCCATGATGATGATGATACGAAAAGGTGAACGAGCAATATTACACAAATCACCGTGAAACATCGCAATCACCGTCACGATCGATGAGAATCGCATGTTCCAACAGCGATACTACTGGCTGCATTACTCGAACACTTAGCAACTGTCAACGAAGAGTTCTCGGATGCCATAACGTTAGTGCAAGACCAAAGGGGTACGGTAGGAGAGGTGCGCCT